GAGAAAAGAAGGGAATGAAGGAATTTGACTCCTATATCATACATAAAAATTAGAGCTACATCATAGATGTAAACAATTAAAATAATGAATTTTTACGACCTAGGGGAACAAAATTTCTTAAAGGGAACACAGGAAACACTAACTACAAAATAAGGATTGAGGGCTGAGGATATGGCTCAAGCAGTAGCCTGCCTCAGTCTCCCAAGCTGCTGGTATTACAGGCCTGTGCCACCAGTGCCCCACTGGAGACAGTTTTTAACCCCGAAGCAGGCTTTTCACCCAGTGGACCTGACTTTATATACCAACTCTGTGATTGCCTGGCTCTCTGTGTTCTTGAAAAATTTACTTCATCTCAGGGCTGGGGATGTGGCTCAAGCGGTAGCGCGCTTGCCTGGCATGCGTGCGGCCCGGGTTCAATCCTCAGCACCACATACAAACAAAGATGTTGTGTCCACCGAAAACTGAAAAATAAATATTAAAATTCTCTCTCTCTCTCTCACTCTTAAAAAAAAAAAGAGGGTCTCTCGCTCTCTCTTCAAAAGATTCTCAGCACCACATACAAACAAAAGATGTTGTGTCCGCCAAGAACTAAAAAATAAATATTAAAATTCTCTCTCTTTAAAAAAAAATAAGGATTGATAAATTGGACCTTGTTAAAATTAAAAACCTTGTTCATCAAAATAAGCAATTAAAACGAGGGAGTAGAAGGTAATCCACACACAGGAAGTAGATATAAGTAATACAAACACACCCACAGAACTTGTTTTTAAAATACATAAAGAGCCAGAAGTGGTGGCAACACTAGTAATCCCAGCAATTTAGAAAGCTGAGACAGGAGGATTTCAAGTTTAAGGCCAGTCTCAGCATCTAAGCAAAGCCCTAAGCAATTTAGGGAGGACTGGGGATGTAGCTCTGTGGTTAAGCACCCTTGGTTCAAACCTCAGTACCAAAACAACCAGCAACAACCAAAAAACCCGAAGGACAAAACAAAATGCATAAAGAATTCCTACAAACCATTGAAAAAAGGAAGACAGCCAGTAAAAATGATGATGAGTGTATGGAAAAAAGGCTTGAGCAGGCATCCACAAAAGAGAATGTTCACATGGTCAATAAGCTACGTAAAGGTAATGAAAACCATTGGCCATTAGGGAAAGAAAGTTAAACCACAATAAAATGCTGCTACATCTCTATCAGAATTACTAAAATTAAAAGGGTTGTTGCTGTGCTTTGGATATGGCTTGGGTGTGTTCCCCAAGGATTTTTGTGTTGAAATTTAATCCCCACTGTGAGGTATTAAGAGGGTGGAAACATAATCTGATTTTGGTGTTTAGAAATGGGGCCTTTGGAAGTGATTAGTATTAAATAAGGTCATGGGTGGAACCCCCATAATTGAATACTAGTTACTTTCCAAGAAGAGGGTGAGAGACCAGAATGCATGCCTCCTGTCTCTTGCTGTGTGAGACCCTGTGCAACCTTAGGCCTTTGTCAGCAAGAATGCCACCACCAGATGTAGACCTCTACCTTGGACCAGAACTGTGAGCCAAAACAACTTCTCTTTGGAGGGTGATGCTAGAAATTGAACCCAGGACCTGTGCATGCACCAGCTCTTTTAGTGAGCTCTACCATCAACCCAACTCTTTTTTTAATAAAGTTATTCAGCCTTGAATATTTTATTATAGTAACGAAAACCAGATTAATAAAACCTAATATAAAGATATAGAACATTTTTTGCACTTTTTCTAATATATATTCTTTCTGTTTTTTTCCTCTTTCAACATATATACTCCTTGTATACCTATTAATACCACCTGTTTTATTTACTATGCTTGTATCACAAACCTTTTCCTATAACTAAATATTTTTATTTGTCATTATTTGAAATTACAGTGTCCTAGGTCAAGAATACACCATAATTTATTTTATCAATCTGCTTTGGTATCAAATTTTATGCTATTTAAATTGTGTCTAAATAACAATCTCTGCAAGCCAGGTGAGGTGGCACATACCTGTAATCCCAGAGACTCGGGAGGCTGAGGCAGGAGGATCACAAGTTCAAAGCCAGCCTCAGCAATTTAGCAAGGCCCTAAGCAATTTAGCAAGACCCTGAGTGTCTCTCTCTCTCTCTCTCTCTCTCTCTCTCTCTCTCTCACACACACACACACACAAAGGCACACAAAGGTTGGGGATGTGGCTCAGTGGTAAAATGTCCCTGGGTTCAATCCCTAGTAAACCCCCTGCCAATAACAATCTTTTCACTTACATGATTATTTCCTTAAGATAAATTCCTATAAATGTATGTAAAATTCTAAATTTATCCTGATGGATTATCTGAATTTTACTTCCACTCATACTCAGAGAAGGCTTGTTTCCCTGAACCCTTAGCCACACTGGCTATGTTTCAAAACAAATTTTAATCTAATTTTTTTTTCTTTTTTTTTGTACCAGGGATTGAACTCAGGGGCACTCAACCACTGAGCCACATCTCCACATCCCCGGTCCTATTGTGTATTTTATTTACAGACAGGATCTCACTGAGTTGCTTAGCGCCTCACCATTGCTGAGGCGAGATTTGAACTCATGATCCTCCTGTCTTAGCCTCCCAAGCCACTGGGATTACAGGCTTTCACCACCGCACCTGCACCTGGCTAGGTGCTCTTTTTAATCTCACAGTAGATTTTTTTTTTTTTTGGTATTTGGATTGAGTATTTTGTTTATACTGCTGAAATCCTTTGAAGTTATGACTCATTAGTGCTCTTCATGTTATTGTTCTGCTCCCCAACTTTGGGCTAATACACCTTGACCTGCTTGGTAACTAGATATAATGGTGACACTAGTTCCCTGCAAGGAGCTCCTTTGCTGCAAAGGAACTCCTTAGTCAAGGAGCAGATAACATAGGGAAAGGTTTTTGGTTGCCCTTTAAGAAATATCTATTGAGCCAGACACAGGAAAGCACTGGAGATAAGAGAAAATAACAAGATGGGTGTTCTCCCTGCCCTTATTTACTTCATGGATAGTAATTAAATAAAGAAATGCTTCTAAAGTCTAAACAATTCATTCTTTCTTTCCATACCTAGTACCTATATATGCCTGTTTATTAATTCAACAATATCAAGCACCTAGTATAGATTAGGCATTATCTATGCCCTGAGGATACAGCAGTAAATAAAATGGTTGAAATCACTATCTCTGTAGAATTTATCTTCTAGTGGGGGGAGGCTATATATAAAACAAATAAATAAAATTATGGTATGCTAGATGGCGAATAGTGTTTTGATTAAAAACAATATAAGGAAGGGGGATTGGAATTGTGTGTATGCATATATGTGTGATTTTAAGTAGGGTGGTAAGGAAAGGCTGGACTAAGAATGTGACATTTAAGTTAAGACCTGAAGGAAGTAAGCCACACAAATATCTAGATAATTCTATGGAGCACAAAAGAAGACAGATTCTTGGCTTGGACATTTCTACAGCTGGGAGATAAATATATAATTAATCATGGTCATGTTTGTGATGGTATTCTGTAAGACTTAATGGTCTATAAATACAGAATGTTTTCAGTATATTACACATATGACTATTTACAAGAATACGGTCATATATTGGCACTATGAATATATATTAAACTATAACACAAGGAACTATGATAATGTGCAAGTGGGGGGCTAATTGTTCCATTCTATACTACCAGAAAAACTGTGGTTAGTATTTTTTCCTTAAAGGGGGAAAGGACGCTTCTCTCTTGAGGCTTCTGCTTGGGAGCCCACTTTTTTTGTTGTTGTTGTTGTTTTGTTTTGGTGTGTGTGTGTGTGTGTCTGTGGATGTGGTAAGTAGGGTGTAATCATTATTTGTGGGTATAAAACTTCCTTGCTCTGGAAGCCAGATTATGTTACAGAAAAATCATTTGCAAACCCATGAGTTATTTGTAAATGGATGGAGCCCAAAAGTACCAAAAGTAAGTTTTCTTTTTCAGTGTGCATTTCACTAAGTCGAAAAGCTGAGGGATAAACAAAAAACTGCTGTTTGCATTCCGTTTAGACCCCAGCACTCCGAAAGAGGTCTTATACCTGGGATTGAATCCAGGGGTGCTTAACCACTGAACCATATCCCCAGCTCTTTTCATTTTGGATTTTGAGACAGGGGCTGGCTAAATTGCTTAGGGCCTTGCTCTCTTGCTGAGGCTAGTTTTGAGCTCGAGATCTTCCTACCTCAGGCTCGGTAGTCCGAAAGAGGTCTTTAAAGACCTGGGTTAAAAAAAAAAGTTATTATTATTATTTTTTTTTCTGGGCAATCAGTCTCTTAACATAATCCATATGAGTTCCTGGTGTTGCAGGGATTTTGCCAGGTTGTGTGTGCACACTGCTGATCACCATGCTAGAAGGCACTCACCAAAGTCTGAAAGCTTACAACACACATTCTACATGCCAACAAAGAAGGAAGAAAGCCTGGATGCTGTTGCTTGTGTGGTGGTGCAAAAAGGAGGGCGTGCCCTGTGACCAATTCTGGCCAAACACTATTCACTCATTCATTCATTCATCGGATATTTTATTAAGTGTACATTCCGTGTATGCACCGCTGCTTGCCCACCGGGGTCATTCAAAGCCCTGCGGGTGCGGTGCACAGAGGAGAGAACTGTATATTCCCAGCCTGGGTCTACCTTCCAGTAGAGCTCCTAGACAAAGGGATGCCACCCTGCAGCTCCCTAGGTTGAGGGCTCCGCCCGCGGTGGCGAGGGGGTGGGGGGGTGGGGGTGGGGGTTCGGCGCGACTGCTTCTCCACTCCCTAGCCCGAGGGGGCGCTGCAGCGCCGACGCTCGGCCCGCCCCTGAGTCGCGCTTCACTCGGCCCGCGGTGGTACGTTCCCCCTCGCTCTCCTCCCCCTCCTCCCCGGCCCTCCCCGCTGGTGGTAGATGCCGGAAGTGCCGCCATTTTGGGGTGTTCTGCTCTGGCGGCAGCGGCAGCGGCAGCGGCGGCGGGACGCGGAGGCTCCCCCGGGACTCGGCCTCAGCAGCGAGGCGGCGGCGGCGGCTGCGGAGGCGCAGGCAGCAGCTGAGGCAGCGGCAGGCTCAGGTGCAGCCGCTGGTGAGTGTGGGGGCTGGGGAATAACGGGCCGCGGGACGGAGGGAGGGAGCGGAGGCTGGAGGGAGGCGCCGTGGGGCGGGTCCGGTTCGGGCGGCAGCGGGTCACAGGGCCCTCCGGGTGCGGTCGCTCCTCTTTCCCCGCGCCCCGGAGGCAGGGCCGTGATCTCCCGCGCTTCGGGGTCCCTGGCATCCCGGGTCTCGCCGCGCTCGCCTGGCGCGTGCCCCTGCGCCGAGAGAGACCCGCCTTCCTCGTGGCCTTACACCTCTCCCCGCGCCCTTTGCCTTCATCCTCCCAACCCACAGCGGTTAGTTCCTTGCCCAGGAGCAGTCCCGTCCTCCTTTCCAGCCGCCTTGCCGGATTCAGGCTGCTTGTCCCGCACACCCCTTCCCTGACCCTTCCGCCCCACGTGTTCCTTGTCCCCTGCCCTGGGGCACCCCAGGATCCTCCCCTTAGAGGGTAGCCCTTCTCCGAGCCCCATGAGTCCCCTGTTTCTTGCCCCAGATCGGCTAGCGCCTTGGCTCGCCCTCCCCCCAACATCAGGTGCTCACCCAGTCATGGCCTAGTAGTCGAGCTGGAAACTCGCACCCGGGGACGTGGAGAGCACAGTAAAGCGCTTTCTTCGCCAGGGACCTGGCTTTGAATTTCAAGTCGGTGCTGTCTTGGTTGTGGTCCTTCGGGCAGGATGTTGTTTTAATTCTCTAAGATCATTGCATATCCTCTAAGGAGCGTCTTATTGGTTTGGGTTCATTCCCATAGTTGAGGGGAAGGTGGTGAGGTTTTGATCGGAGCCTGTTTGAGCAAAATGGAATCGCTTTCTCGTCAGCAGAGTTGATGCTGTACGTTCATTACTGTGGGGTAAAAAGGCTGTTTAACAGTTTTTGAGAGAGCATGAGATGCTTGATGATGTCTGTAGTTTGAGAGGTTACAAATATCCAATGAATCTTTTATAGGAACTTCGCGTTTTAAAGGTCTTTTCACTGTCTTTGGTTCTCTGTGAATTGGAGAGGATTTAATTGCATTCTTTCACGTTTTCCACAAGTGTAGTACTCTTAAGTTTCAGGTTCTCTGCAAATCCTTGACGAGAATGAAGGGGTCTCCTTATAGAATTAATGATGGTTTTTTCCGTTTTACTATTAAAGTTCATTTTGAAAATCACGGATTTAAAATAGCATGCATTAACTATTGCTGTAGTGATTTTTATCCCCAAGGTAATTTTTATATTTTTCTAGATTTACCTAGGGAGTGTGGGGTTTCTAATCATGACTTTTAGCCAGGATAGAAGCAGTGCTGTTGGTAAAGCAAATCTGGAGCTTTCAGCTGTTGCTTTAACCAGGAAGCTTATGGTTCCCGTAGTGGTTCTTTCCTCATGACTGTCCACCACCTGTTTCCATTAAGAATGGTCCTTGGCCCCAGAACATAGGCCTCCACTTCTCTCTTAAGATTCATTTTTTTCCCTTTGGGTTTTCTTCTCTGAAGATAGCATCTAGATTTGCGATCCATTAGCAGGAGGACTATTAAGAGATGTTTTCCAAACCTTTCACTTTTCAGAGGAGGAAATTGAGGGCTTCAGAAGTCAGCGACTTACTTGCCCAAGGTTACATAGCAAATGTTCTTAAAACAGTCTTTTAGCAGAGGTTTGTTTTGCCTTTTTTTTTTAAGTATCATGAGAAATAATGCAAATTGCCCTTTGAGATATGATGGAATGGAAAGGGCTCTGGGCTTAAATTTAGAAGACATGCATTGTAATTTTATGTCAGTTACCCTAACCATGTTAGTCAGCTATTTGGTTTATTTTAATATGCAATATGAAGGAAATGGTGTCTGTCTCACATGGTGCTAGTTCCCCTTCCATGCAGTAACGTGTGCAAGTATCTGTGTTATGATAGGCAGACATTGAAACAGGGAGCCAGAATGATTTTTTTCTTACTGCAGAAGTTACAGGGCTGGGGCTGTATCTCAGTGGTAGAGCACTTGCCTAGCATGTGTGAGGCACTGGGTTTCATCTTCAGCACCACATAAAACTGATAAAGTAATAAAGGTATTATGTCCATCTACAACTAAAAAAATATTAACAAGTTACAGATTCATTATAAAAAGTAGAGATAAGTCAAAAAGGAAACTCAGCCATAGTTCCACTACTCAGAGGTGATTGTTAATATTTGGTTTTTATCTTGTTCATCCTTTTTATATGCTATAGATGTGTTACTTACCAAAGTAGGCTTTAGTCAGAGTTTCATGGTGGGTTTTAAGATTTTTTTTTTTTTTTAGGTAGTGGGAAGTGAACCCAGGGGCACTTAACCATTGAGTCACATCCTCAGTTCTTTTTATAATTTATTTAGGGACAGGATCTCGCTGAGTTGCTTAGGGCCTTGCTAAGTTGCTGAGGCTGACTCTGAACTCATGATTCTCCTGCCTTAGCCTCCTGAGCCCTTGGGATTACAGGTGTATGCTACCACACCTGGCATGTTTTAAGATTTAATAATAGATATTAAGTTTGTTTATTTTTTAATTTGGTTCTGGGGATTGAACCCAAGGGTACTTTACCACTGAGCTACATCCCCAGCCATGAATCTCCCCTTTTAAATTTTGAGACAGGGTCTTACTAAGTTGCTGAGGCTGGCCCAGAACTTGGGATCCTCCTGCCCCAGCCTCCTGAGTCGCAGGAATTACAGGCATGTGCCACTGTGCCCTGCTCTGTGGAAGCTATTAAATATAGAATTCCATTTTGAGTGGTTGCTAAAACAAACCATGCCATACCTGGGCATGGTCACACATGCCTGTAATCCCAGTGACTCCTAAGGGGCTGAGACGGGAGGATTGCAACTTTAAGGTCAACCTCAGCAATTTAGCAAGGCTTTCAGCAAGACCTGTCTCAAAATTAAAAAAGGGATGGGTGTGTAGCTCAGTGATAAAGCACCCCAGGGTTAAATCTCCGGGACTAAAAAAAAAAAAAATCCACGTATGAGGTAGATGGGTAAAGCAGCACAGGAACAGAGAAATCCTTTTAAACATGTGATGGGCTTCAAGAGGAGGAAAAGAAAGTGGAAGATACATTGTGTATATGTGTTGTGTGTATGTGTGTGTGTGTGTTTAATAAAGATTTGGGCTGTGCTACTAAATGTAAAGCGTAAGTACTGAATTCCTTTCCCCTTTCCTTGACTGCCACTGCAGCTTCTTTAACTATTTTCCTGTGAATCTGAACCTAAATAGGAACTGGGCAGTTAAAAGATGATAGTGGTGGAAAGAGAAGAACTGTCACCTGGAAGAAGCAGGAGCATAGCTCCTCTAAGCAGGGTTTTGGGTACTTATAACAAATTGCTCTGTTCTCTTTAAACCAGTGAATGATAGCATTTTTGTGAAGCACTTTTTTTTTTTTTTTTATTAAGAGTTTTATTGAGGGCTGGGTTCGATCCTCAGCACCACATAAAAATAAATAAAGGAATTGTGTCCAACTACAACTGGGAAAAAACCCAAACAGCTGGGGATGTAGCTCAGTTGGTAGAGTGCTTGCCTTCCATGCACACAAGGCCCTGGGTTCTATCCCCAGTACCCCACCACACACAAAAAACTTTTGAGATACAATTCACCCATTTCCTGGGAGTGGTGTGTATGCCTGTAATCTTAGCAACTTGGGATTTATTTATTAATTTGTAATTAATTTATGAATAAAAATGCTTAAGAGCACGATGTGTTTTATTTTATTATTTGATACTGGGGATTGAACCTTGGGCACTTAACCACTGAGCTAAATGCCCAGCCCTTTTTACTATGAGACAGTGTCTCCTAAGTTGCTTAATGCTAGGTAGAACTTTTTTCTTTTTGAGACTCCATTATATGGATATATCACTTTTTGTTTATTTGCTGCATCCATTGATGGAAGTTTGAGTTGTTTTTGCCTCTTGGCTATTATGAACAGTGCTGCTATGAACATAGGCTTCTGTTTGAGTTCTTGGTGTGTGCCACCACACCTGACTTCTTGTTTTTTAATCTTTTTGGTTACAGGTTCGATATTCCTTATGTAAATGCTTGGGATCCGAAGTGTTTTGTGATTTGGACTTTGGATTGATATTTGCATACACATAATGAGATGTCTTGGGGATGGGATGTAAGTCTAAACATGAGATTTTTTTTTTTCCCCTTTTGGTACTAGGGATTGAACTCAGAGGCACTTTACCACTGAGCCACATCCCCAGCTCAGTTTTCTTTACTTTTTATTTTGAGTCAGGGTCTCACTAAGTCACTTAGGGTCTCGCCAGTTTTCTGAGACTGGCCTTGAACTTATGATCTTCCTGCCTCAGTCTCCTGAATCCATTTATGTTTGATATATACCTTATCACATAGCCTGAAGATAATTTTACACATTTTTAAAAATATTTTAGTTTTAGGTGGACACAATGTCTTTATTTTATTTTTATGTGATGTTGAGGGTCGAACCCAGTGCCCCGCGCATGCCAGGCGGGTGCACTACCGCTTGAGCCATATCCCCAGCCCAGACACATTATTTTTTTTTTTTTTTTTTTTTCAAGTGGGTTAATATCTTTATTTTTTAATTTATTTCTATGTGGTGCTGAGGATCGAACCCAGGGCCGCACACATGCTAGGCATGCACTCTACCACTGAGCCACAACCTCAGCCCCAGACACATTATTTTTATAAATAAGGTGTGCCTGCATTTTGATTGTGATTTATCACACCAAATTAAATGTGAAATTTTCCACTTGTGGTGATATGTTGGCACTCATAAAGTTCAGAGTTTGAGCGTTTTGGCTATTTGGATTAGGGATGTTCAACTTGTATGTGCCAGAAAATGAGATTGCTGGGTCATAGGATAATCCTACTTGAACTCTCATACTGTTCTCAATAGCAGCTATAGCATTTTATGATCCCACTATCTTGCACAGGGCTTCCTAATTCTCCATATCCTCTACATCATATGTTTCTGGCTTTGTTTTGTTTTCATAGCCATCCTAATGGGTGTGAGGTAATCACTCTGTGGGTTTTTGTTTTTGGTCCTGAGGACTGAACCCAGAGGGGTTTTATCACTGAGCTACATCCCCAGTCTTTTGTATTTTTTATTTTGAGATAGGGTCTTACTGAATTGTTGAGGGTCTTGCAGAATTGCTGAGACTGGCCTTGAATTTGCAGTCCTCTGGGTTAGCTTCCTGAGTCATTGGATTATAGGCATGTGACACTCTCTTATGGTTTTGATTTGCATCTCTGAAGTTAAGTGATATTGAATTTGAACTTTTTGTTTGACATCTTTTTTTTAATATTTATATTTTAGTTGGAAGTGGACACAATATCTTTATTTCATTTTTATGTGGTGCTGAGGATCAAACCCAGTGCTTCATGCGTTCTAGGCAAGTACTCTACCACTGAGCCACACCCCAGCCCTTTTGTTTGACATCTTTAGAGAAATGTCTGTTCAAGTCCTTTGCCCATTTTTCAATTGTATTATTTCTCTGGGGATGTAGTAAGTTCAGTGATAGAGTGCTTGCATAGCACATGCTAAGTCCTGGGTTTGGTCCCCGTCACCACAAGGGTGTTTTTTTATTGTTGAGTTTCAGGAATTCTTATTTTCTGAGTATTATATTAACCCCTTATGGTTATATAACTTGCAGATTTTTCCCCCCATTCTTTATTTTTGGTACCAGGGATTGAACTCAGGGGCACTGGACCTCTGAGCTCTATTTTGTATTTTATTTAGAGATAGGGTTTCACTGAATTGCTTAGTGCCTTGCTTGATTGATTGATTGATTGATTGATTGCTGAGGTTGGCTTTGACCTTGTGAACCTCCTGCCTCAGCCTCCCTATCTGATCTGAGCCACTGGGATTACAGGCTTGTGGCTACTGCTGGCTTTTCCCCCATTTTGGGGGATGGGGGTGAACTCAGGGGCACTCAATCACTGAGCCACATCCCCAGCCCCATTTTGTATTTTATTAGAGATGGGGTCTCACGGAGTTGCTTAGTACCTCTCTCATTGCTGAGGCTGGCTTTCAACTTGCTACCTTACTGCCTCA